CTTGACCTCCTCTAATGGGTCTCAAGCTGTTTTTTGTTTTTTTTTTTTTTGAGAAATACTGTTATGTCCTGCTTCTAAGCTGCCTCTTAACATCCCCGTGGCTACTCTCCCGATTCAGGCTCCCCATCACATCTTACCTGGTCGACTACAGTAACCTCCTTCAATCCTCTGCCAAGACCAGAGTAATTTGGAAAGCACATTTCTGACCTTATCATTCCCCTGATTTAAAATCCTGAAGTACCCCCACTGCATTGCATGGCCTAGTACTTGGTACCTGAAGACGATCGCTGGTTGTATGAGTAATAAATAATTATATAAGGATTACTGTGTGTTTTTTCTCAGGATGAAGACCTTCTACCAAGTAAATACTTTGAAGTCGACTTTCCAATGATAGTCACGAGAAAACTGCACAGCATCAAGTAAGTGTGGCTTTGACCGGAACAAAGAGCCTGCTGGAATTTAGAACCAGCTCTGAGGCCTCATTTTCAGGCACTGCTTTCCTTTCCTCCCCTCCTCTCTCTCTTTCTTGCCCCAGGATCCTCATTCCAATGTATCGTGTAGTCTTCACCATGAATTATCCTCTCCCTTGTGACTCTTCTATCCATTAATATAATTTCTCTGCACGTTTTTAAAAATGACCTATAGTAGTTTAATAATCTGAATTTTTTTTAAACTTATTTCTATTTTTGGTGGGGGAAGATAATTATATATATTTTTTGTTTTTATGGCGGTACTGGGGATTGAACCCAGGACCTTGTGCACGTTAGGCATGCTGCTCTGCCACTGAGCTATCCCCTCCCCCTCTATTAATCTGAATTTTTATGTGTATTTTGCTTCTTTAACCCCAGGATACAGAAAGGTGCCTGGCCCAGAATAGACGTGTAGTAAATATTTTTCGAATGCAAGAATGAATGGGAGACTGAAGTTAATCGGTTATTATGTACGAGATATTCAGGGGGCTTTTCTAAGTCCATTGTTCAAGGAGTTTGCTTAGTTGTAAGTTACGAGTTTGCTGATCTTTGCTGAGAGCTTTTCTTTGCCTAGCCCTGTGTTAAATGTTTCACTTGGATTGGCCCACTCAGTCCTCAGAGCCAACTCATACATTGAGGGCTATCCTTAGCCTTTCTTCACAGATGAGGAAACTGAGGCTCAGAGTAGTTTAGTTAAGTTGCGTAAGGTCAGCTAGCTAGGAAGAGGGTGGAGCTGATGTTTAAACCCTGACTGCAAGACCAGGGTTAAAGTTTCCCAATAATTTTAACCTGCACTCATTCCCCTCCTTTTTATTTTGTTTTTTATTGAAGTAGAGTCGGTTTACAATGTTGTGGTAATTTCTAGTGCACAGCATAGTGATTCAGTTATACATATATATGTATATATTCCTTTTCATGTTCTTTTTCATAATGAGCTATTAGAAGATATTGACTGTAGTTCCCTGTGCTCTGCAGGAGGACCTTATTGTTTATTTTATTTATTTGTTTGTTTGTTTATGTGGGGAAAGGTAATGAGGGTTACTTATTTAGTTTTGGAGGAGGTACTGGGAATTGAACCCAGGACCTCATGCATACTAAGCATGTACTCTACCACGTGAGCTATACCCTCCCCCTATCTATTTAATATATAGAAGTTAGTAGCTGTGAATCCCAAACTTCCAGTTTCTCTTTTCACCCTCCCCTTTCCCCCTGGTAACCATAAGTTCGTTTTCTATGTCTATGAGTTTTGTAAATAAGTTCATCTGTGTCAGTTTCTAGATTCCACATATAAGAGATATCATATGGTACTTTTCTTTCTCTTTCTGGCTTACCTCAGTTAGCATAATGACCTCCAGGTCCATCCGTATTGCTGCAAATGGCGTTACTTCCTCCCTCCTTTTTATATTAGTCGTGTAAATAAAATCTTGATTCTTATACTTCAGTAACATTTGTAATAAGCATGAAGTTGTAGCTTGTCCTTTAGACGCGTCTAATTCTCACAAACTGGGGATAATTTTCAAGCCTTGTTTTTTCCTAGTTCATGAAAATAAGCTTTTTACTCTTTCCAAATGTAAAAGTATATATATTATCTATCTATGCCTTGTAGATGCTCTATGGCAATTCTGATGCTCCGGGACCTACAGAGTATGGCTAAACTTGTTAGAACTGAGTGAAAAGAGCAAGTAGGCTCTCAATTAAGGCCAGGGTGGTTTCCTGGGGTGAAAAATGCATTGATGTTTGTGTATGGTTGTTGTAGAATTGAACCTGGCTCTTTGATGTCTGGGTTTTTTTGCATTTTCTTCATTGGGAACGTTACCACATAAATGTTAACTAGACTTTAGGTCTCAGTAAGAGTCAGTCTTTTTAGTTTACCTGTGAGAAGTAATAGCTCTCTTAAAAGTTTTGTCTTAGAAGAGGCAAGACATTAGCAGATGGCTTGGAAAACACTGAAACATTTGGAAAATTCTTGCTAGCCTATAAGTAAATCTCTCATGATCAGTTTGTGATTTAATATCAGATTCTCAGTGTAAAGCTTAGCTGATATAAGCTGAGACTTGTATCCACTGGACTTTGACTGGATGTGCCTAGGGTCACATGTAATTAAACAGAAGACCCTTTAGCGTGGCCCTTCCTTTAAATAGTAGCGAAATCCACTTGAGTGTCTGCATTTTTGCAGTAATAAGCTACCTGACTCATCTTTCTTCTCTCTCATCTTCCCACAGATTGAAACCTGTCCTATCAAAACCCATTTTAGACTTACATTCAGAGGACACCCTTCAAATAGGCAAGTATCCTTAACCTAAGTAATACCCCGTGGGCTGTGTAACAATTTTTGTTCTTTTCCCCCTTTTTAAAGATGGTGTGTGTGTGTGTGTGTGTGTGTGTGTGTGTGTGTGTGTGTACATATACATGTATCTACAGATGTGTCTGCTGATACATTTTCACCTTCATTGCAGTTACCGTGAAGGAATTTAAAACAATTTTTGGTATGACTCTTCTTAGAGGTTCATAGATTCCCCAACCTGGAATCTTTTTAAAAAGAATTTTAGTCGCCAACATTTCAAAAGTAGATTTTTCATCAAAGAGTTGATTTCTAGTTTCGCCTAGAAAAATCAGTTCTGGCGACATCAGACCACAGCTCCTACAAGACTTGACCATAGCTCCCCCACACTTGGGGGAGGGGGTCCGTGTCCTCTCCAGTTCTGTCCCCACTACCCTCTTGTTTTATACCTGACCTGCTTCCTTGTTTATGTTTCCTCCTTGGCCGCTGCAGTCAGTTTTTCCCCCTCAAGTTTTCGTTATGAATGTTTCCAACAATACTTTCCTCATTTCTAAGCCTTTCCAGTTATAATGTAGCTCTTCCAGAATCTTCCATTATTTTCAGTCTGTGTCTGACAGAGATGTTCAAGGGCCTTCTTAATAATTGGGGTTAGAAAGCATGCTTAGAGAGGATGGCCTTCTCAGAGGGTCGACACAGATAACACAGCGACGATCAGACAGTTACACAAGCCGCGTCATTCACACACCACTGTGCTTCAGTCATCCGCCTCGTGATCAGACTCCCAGTAGGTTGTCACAGAAAATAGCATCTGCCCCCATCCTTTGTTTCCCTTACTTAAATTCTAAGTAGAACCTATTCAGGCTTTGCCATTTGCTGGCCTATTTGCTTTCTCCACACTTTTGCTACCGTAATTCTCTATGTATTTGGTGAATATTTGTGTCAGAACGATTGTCTGTAATGAATGTGCTAGCACTTTGCTAGGACTTTGATCCGTCAATGTAGAAATATATGAAGTAGAACGTAAAGACCTTCCTTCCATATTCCCTCCCACCCAAGATAACCGATGTTCAGAGTATTTCCTACTACGGATGCACAGTATACCTAGAGAAAGGTGAATACCACATATAATAAAATATGTACTCAAATACTCAGTGCCTGGCATGTAAGAGATTCAGTAAATTTCTGTTGAACGAGTGTATGTACACATTGAATAAATACATGTTGTAGTTCAGCATGTATTTGGGTTTGGTTTGTTTTGTTTTTTAACTTTTTTTATTAAGTTATAGTCATTTTACAATGTTGTGCCAAATTGCAGTGTAGAGCACAATTTTTCAGTTATACATGACCATACATATACTCATTGTCATATTTTCTTTTCGCTGTGAGCTATCACAAGATCTTGTGTATATTTCCCTGTGCTACACAGTATAATCTTGTGTATCTATTCTGCATATGCCTGTCAGTATCTACAAATTTTTAACTCCCAATCTATCCCTTCAACATGTATTTGTTGAATGAATCTATGCTTCTATATACAAATAGAGATTTATGTAATTTTAATCAAGTGAATAATTTATGCATACTGTTTTGTGACTTGCTCTTTACTCATCCTAGTAAGTCATGGCTATCTTTTCATGTCAGTATATACAAGCGTACCTCATCATTTCTAGTGCATTTATAGTGCTCCTTTGCACAGAAATTCCATTTTATTTAATCTGTTCCCTACTGATAGTCATTTCAATTGCTGCCTTTTATTAAACAGTGTTGTAGAAAACCTGTGTATATGTGTGTTTGCAGGACTTGCTAGCTCAAAGGACTGCACATTATGACTTTTAATGGCTGCTACCAAACTGATCTTCAAGACCCTTTGTATTACTTTATATTTTCACTAAGAGTAGACGAGGATTCCCTTTCCCTACACCCTCATTAATACTAGGTATTATTTTTTTAAATTGCCACCAATCTGATAGGCAGTAATGGTGTCCCGTTGTTTTAAAATTTTATATAACTCTGAATGCGAGATGGAGTATCTTTCTTTAGTTTCACTGGCCTTTGGGAATTTCTTCATAAATTTCCTTTTCATTTCCTTTGTGCAACTTTTTTTTTCCAGTTGCATTGTTTCCTTTTTTTCCGCTCCCAGTTTTTAGGAACCTTTTATAACATAAAGATATGTTCTTTGATACAAGCCCCTTGTCAACTTTTTTTATTGCAGATTTTTTTTTCTCACTCTTTTGCTTGTTTTTTAACTCTGTGTTTGTGTCTTATGTAGGAAAAATTTCCAGCCTTATCCTTTATAGTTTTTGACTTTCCCATTATACTACGAAAGGAAAATTTGAATAAAAATAAAAATGTGAATGAAAATCTGAGAGAAGTGGCAGATGGTAGTAAAACTGACAAAATTTCATTTAAAAATTGCCCTAGTTCATCAGACCTGTGAGGCTGTGACTGTTAAGAATCACCACTATGTATTTGCCAATAGGAAAGAAAAAATGCCAGCAAATTAAACTGGTACATTATCGACTGTTAGATGCATCTTGATTTCAGAAATGTGAAGATGTGAGAAAAAAATGCGGCTTAGAATTGATGATATGTGTTTTCTTAAGCTGAAATATGCATGGGGTTATAAAATGAAAAGTATGCAAGTGGGCACACAGTGAAAAGTCAGCCAGAATGAGTTCTTACAAAGTCAGTGAGGTTCTGTTACTTGCCTGCTTAAATCCTCTGTGTGCTTAAATCCACACGGTTAATCGGGCCTCTGTACCCCCCAGCCCGGTTTTATTTTCGACCGCAAGGGCTATGACCTCGCCCCACTGCCCTCCTGCCGTCCTCTGAACGTGCCAAGCTTGCTCTCACCTTGAAACCTTTCTTCTTCCCTCGGCCAGGAACTCTTTCCCTCTAATTTTCTTGATGGGCTCTGTCTCATCACCCACGTCTCATTCTTGCTGCCGCCTCCCATCTAGGCATCCTCCTCTCTCCTCCTCCTCCTATTTTCTTCATAGCACTTAATTCTCTGATGTTATCTTGATTCTTTAATGATGTATCAGCTCTCCCTCCCCTAGGGGATAAGTCTCCTATGAGCAGGGGCCTCTCCTGTCTTATCCATGACTGTATCCCATATCCCCAGCACCTCGAACAGCACCTGGTGTGCAGAGATTGTTGACTGAATAAATACTGAATGCTTGAATGCGCGAACGTTGGTATTTGGGGACCCATTTCAACTCCTCTGTGGAACTGAATGAGTCTAAAGAAAAAACGACGACAAATCAAAGCATTTCAGAGTGGCTTCAGGCATTTCAGCTGAGCCCTAAGAAGGAGAAGCTCTCTAGGGAGAAGATCGTCTGGGACAAGACAAGCTTAGGGAAAGAAGGAGCATGCAAGAGGCTGGCGTGACTGGAGCTGGCACTGGGGAGGGGTGCATGGTTCACGATGAAGCTAAGGAAGGCGGCAGGGGCTGCATCACATGGGCTGTCGTAGGCCACGCCAAGTTTCGACTCCGTTCTAAGGGAAGTGAGAACCTGTCACGTGCTCCCACAAGACTGCCTGCTTCTCTGTAACCTTCCCCACACTCAGCCTTGCCCGCTCTTCATCTTCCCTGCTGGATGGTAGGCCCCCTGGGGGCAGGACCATATCTTTTTGTTCATCAGTTTGTTCCCTGAACTTGACTCAGTGCCCAGGACATGGTGAGAGCTCAGTAAATATTACTGGGTGGACAGATGAGCAGGTGAACAAGCGAAACTTCTCTAGGGTCAGGAAACCCACCTGAGGCCGTCTCCATTTTAGAACCTCTTTTTTTAAACTAAAGAGTTCTAGGAAAATCCGTGGGCCTGAAAGAACACCTTGCAATCCTTAATAGTAAGTCTGTTCTTGAAGACAGACAGTGAATGGGATTGGTGGGATTCACTGCAGGTCAGTAGCACCTAGGAACACATCTCTTTTGAAATGCTGACTTGGAGGTCCCGGAAGCGATCATGACTATATGCACTGTGGATTCTGTGTGTGGGTGTGTGTCTAACTGCTGCGTTAACATCGCGTAAATCTTCCCCTTTCTCATGCCTTTCATAGGCACGAGCTTAATGAGGCAGATGATTAGAGCCTGTATGAGTTTTCTGTCTAACAAACCACTGCAGAGCATGTGGCTTCAAACACCAGCCATCCGTGTAGCTCACGATTCTGCAGTTTGCCAGTTTGAAATCTCATTCTGGTGAGCAAGTTACTTTTCTCACCCATACTCAGGAGCATTCCAGATGCACCACGGTTTTTCCGTTGTGCCCGTGGTGTCTCACCAGTGTTAGAGTTTATAAAAATGGCATGTTTTTCTAGAGGAGTAAAGCTTCCCGAAACTTGCCCTGGGCCCTGTATCCTCTACAAGATACATCCTGCTTCTTGTGAAGGTAAGGCATCCTTCCAGGGCAGATAATGTGCCTTCTGTTTCTATACAGCTTGAGGAGCCCCTGACTTCAGAGGAGCCCCGGGAGCATGGTGGGTGGGGGATGAGTGATACTAGAGTCGTCCGATTCTGTCATTAATGAGACCTTGGGGTCAGTGCTTCCCAGGTCGTGTGCCGGCTTGCCGTGGCTGGGCCACTGCTGGGTACACCCAGGTCCTTGATTCTTGCAGCTCTGCCGTACCTTGTGCTCAATTTCTAAGAGTCATTATGACCATGTGCCATTTCGGTCTCGCGTGCTACCTTTAGATCCACATCCTGAGTAAGACGTATCTCCCGTGACTTGTGTGGTCTGAGAGAACCACGTGCTTCAACATTCTGATGGTCTCTTTTGTGTGTGTGTGTGGTTAGGGATGGAAAAACTCATTATTAATATATATGTTATTTGGAAGAAAGCACACAGACGTTTGGGAATCATTGCTCGTTTTCACAGCAGGGCGAGCAAGTGCCTTCACGTGCTTTGTATTCCTTCCCTGACTCGGGCTTGTGGTGCTCGGGGCTGACGCCGGGCTTCCCGGCCTTGCCCTTTGGTGGTTCCCTGACTTCTAGCAGGTTCCTGGGTGGCGGTTCTTTTAGCTTATGGTGGGTGGCCCAGTGTATTTGAATCAGCCAAATGGGCTTCTCCAGAAAATAAGGGAACGCCTTATTTTACACGCTGCTTTTAGTCTTTCCCACATTCCTTTGCTGTGGGTTCTCAGACTGGAACCTGAGTTCTTAGCAGTGATGCAGGCTGGCTGTCGGATATTCCAGCTCTTTCCATGGTTTGTACCCTGGGGAAGTTGAGTGAACAATGCTTTGAGTAAACAGTCGTGCAGTTTTATTTCTTTTTTATTATAATCTATTTTGTAAACTTTTGATTGAAACCATTTTCAGGCATACACAAAAGTACTGTGACTAGATGGATGAATCTCCACGTACCATCCCTGACTTTAACTATTGCCTGTACTAAAAATTGTGCCGGGATTCTAAAAGTGTAGTCCCAGACTGACAGCACCAGCACCGTCTGGGGATCTTGTTAGAAATGGCACATTTCTACTTTTGGAAAATCTCCTGGATCAGAACCTCAGGGCACAGAACCTCATCAGTCTGTGTGTTAACAAGCCCTCTGAGTGATTCTGATAGCTGTCCAGGTTTGAGAACCACTATATATACCATTCCATCCAAATCTCTGCTGGAATCTTTTAAAGCAAATATTTTATTTGTAACTACTTTAGTGTATATGCTATTTTCCTTTAAATATGATATCCCACAGATTGGCAAAACACTTGGAGAGCAGCCCGCCAGTGGGTACCAATATTTAAATAGGCTTACTCTTTGATCTCCTGACTCTGCTCATTGTAACCTGCTTAACTGGATAAGTGCTTCATGGTATATATACAAGGATGCTCACTGCGGCACCTAGGTTGGAGTAAACTTGAAAATACTGTGTCTAATAGCGACAATTGGCAAAGTAAGTTTTATGCACTCCGTGGAGCACTGGGAAGTCATTACAGAGAATGATGTCCCTGATACTACTGTTAAATGGGAAAAGCCTTCAAAGCAAGTATTGGGTGGTCCCATTTTCTCTTTGCTGTGCAGGGTGTGTGCTTGTGAGAGAGAAGAGGGAGAGGATGTGTCCGTGTTGTGTATATGAGTTTAAGTACATAGGAAAAAGGCTAGAATGTTATATGCCAAAACACTAATAGTTATTTTTGGAAGGTGTGATTTTATTTAATTTTCACCTTCTTTTACCTGACTTTTTCTCATAGTGAACATATATTTTTATAATGGAGAAAAACAAATTTGCTTTAGTTTTGAGAAAGCCATATCCATTGAAATTATGGTCTCTTCTTGATTAACTTCTGTTATATTATAATCTCTTCTTGCATTTGCAGACGGGCACATGTTGGATTCAAAGAGGTACTGCATCATTGGAGCAGATCTCCGAGATATACCTGAACTGGAAGAGAAACTAAAGAAATGTAACATGAATACACAGTGAGATTTTTTTTTTTTTAACCTCTTACATTTGTGATTTTCTGCTATTTTGAGATAAGGCCAGTTAGAAGTACAGCATCATACCATGTACCATTTTTTCCCCCTGTAATCTTTATAATTTCATAGCTGTTTAGAAAGGCTTTCTGAAATTTTTTTAGAAACAATGTTTCTTGAGTCTGTTTTCCTATTAGAATCACCTGTATTGCTTTTATAAAATACTGATGCCTAATACAAAATTTTGGGGAAGATAATTCTATGCATAGAAACATACGATTGTTAACACATAAAGAAAGGGTTAGCACCGATGTATAAAGAATAGCTACTGTTAACAAAAAGAGCCCTACAGAAAAATGGGCAAAGGATAGATGACCTGGAGGTTCGAAGAAGAAACTGGTATCATATGAAAATGGTATTTCACTTCAGTAGTAACCAGGTGAAATTCTATTTCACTCCCACCAAGTTGGCAAAAATATGAAAGTCTGACAATAGCAAGTGTTGCCAAGGGTGTTGGGGGAGAGGAATGGACATACATCAGGGGTGGAAGCAAGCTTGGTATGATCGTTGCAAGGGACAATCTGGAAGTGTCTCATGAAATTGTAAATGTAGGTACCATGTGCTGGTGCAGCTCCGCTGTCGGCGTATCCCCCTGGGAAGGTCTACGTGTGTGTACAAGGAGGATGTTCATTGCAGCCTCCATTTTTAGTAGCAGAAAGTTAGAAACAATTTGAATGTTCATCAGGAGGAGAATGGATGGATGATAGGTAAAATGCATGACTTTGGAGAGAATTCAGAAACTTAATGTTGAGGTTTTTAAAAATAATTTCCATAGTTCTTTTCTTTATTTTTAAAAATTTATTATTATCTTTAATGGAGGTGCTGGAGATTGAACCCAGGACCTCATGCATGCTAAGCACGTGCTTCACCACTGAGCTATACCCTCCCCCCACAACTTAATGTTGAGTTTTAAAAAATGAAATTGCAGAGTAATATGCAGAGAGTGATACCAAATGTGCAAAATCAAACTCCCCAAATACCAAATTTTCATGATTACATATATACATCCCAGAAGTATTTTAAAAATGGACCAGAAGGGTTCACACCAAATTGTTGAGAGCGAGTACCACTGGGGAGCCAGAGGAGCGGGGTGAGATGTGTGATTTTAGCACAGTGATGCTGGTCACAATTAGATTGGAATTAAAGAGTTAATGGGAGATACGAACATATGTGTGCATATGCAAGACTGGGACATTGTGCTGTACACCAGAACTTGACACATAGTAATTGACTACACTTCAATTAAAAAAAAAAGAGTTAATGGGAGATAAAGGCACATCTGCATGGTGTCCTGTACCTAAATGGACACTTCTATAAAGAAGACATTCAGATGGCCAAGAGGCACATGAAAAGATGCTCAGCATCACTAATTATCAGAGAAATGCAAATCAAAACTACAGTGAGGTATCACCTAACACCGGTCAGAATGGCCAGCACCAAAAAGTCTACAAATACATGGTCTACTGTAGGTGAAGATGACACTTTGAGGAATATTTGAGGTAACTCAAGTGAGAGGTTTGAAAGGAAGGTAAGAGAAAGTTACTTTAAAGAATAAATTGAACGTGAAGAATTAGTGACAAACGATGAAAGAAATAAGCAACTAGGGCTACCATTGCTGGAGGTTTTGAAGATCTAAAAAATGGACAAAAAACAATTGATGTAACAAGTATTAGAATTATATATTCTTCCTTGTGGTTTTATTGTGTTCTGTGTGTGACTTTAAGGGCTGTCTAGTCTTTGCTTTTCTTTCACTTATATATATATTTTTAATTTAATTTATTATTTTTTAATTTTTGTTGGGAGGAGGTAGTTAGGTATACTTATTTATTTATTTTTGGAGGAGGTGCTGGGGATTGAACCCAGGACCTTGTGTGTGCAAAGCATGTGCTCTACCTCTTGAGCTATACCCTCCCCCACTTCACTTATATTTTGAAAAGTATTAATCCTACTTTTAATATTGCTAATGGTGACCTCTTACAAAATACATTGTAAAATATTTAACTTTTCACTTTCAAATAATTCAAATATGCAGAAAAGTTGCAAAAAAAATTCTCATATAACCTCTACCTGGCTATTCCATGTGTCAATATCTTACGTAAATAATGGTTACCTTTTGCATTAAAAAAGATGCTTGAAACTGGATTTCTCTAAGTATTCAACCTATTAGGTGAGGTTTTGGAACTATTTTTCCCTCAGTCAGTTTTTCTAATTATTTCTATTGGTATAATCTCAGGTTTTAGACTTACACTATTGTTAATTTAAAAAAATCTTCTTTTTAATGTTTTTCTTTCTGATTTTCAGTTTTATTTACAACTCGTACTTGACAATTTTTCCTCTGGATCACTGTCCTCATTTTTTTGTACCAAGTTCCAAATGGGTCCAGGAAGCATTTAGAGATATATATGTAAATAAGTTATATAACATTTTACTGTTACTAAAAGGGGGAAGTCCAGATGGGCAGAGCAGGTGGATAGTTGGTACCGTCAGGTCAGAGCCAGCGTTTACTTGCGGGCGCCCTTTCTCTTTAATGGCACAGTAATGGCACTGCGTCCGGCCGGACAGGTTTGAATTCTGAGGGAAGAATACACTAGACTTTGACCTTCGACAACTTATTTCACCTCTGTGTATCTCAGTTTCCTCCTTGAAAAATGATAAAATAACAGAACTCAGCAATAAATGTTAACAGAGGATAATGTGGAAAACTAGTTTTAAAAAATCTCATTCATCTTGATAGTTTTAGTAGCTACTGCTGATGGTTCTGATGGTCCCAGAAGCAGATAAAAATCATCCCGAATCCTGAACTCAGAGATAGCCACCTTAATACATTTTATGCCAAAATTTGTAAATATGTATTTGCCTTTAAAATGTGACTGTGCTCTGCATACAGTTTGGGAACTTTTAAAAGAATCAAATGTATCTAGATACGTATGTATATGTATGTGCATATATATGTACGTATGTTCACTTATTTGTTCATTTATTTATTCACTCATTCATCAAATAGTTGAGAATCTACTGTGTACAGATACGAGAGAGCCGTGAACAAAACAGCTTACATTATCGTGTGTGGGAAAAAAGAGACATTAAACGGCTAATTGCATGGACTCTTTAATGACTCTTGAGGTACCTGCTTTGAAGAAGTATAGGGGAGCAAACAAAGAGGCCACTGGAGTCTGGGACCATGGAGAGCGTCCATGTCAGTAAATTCAGTGCTAAAGCATCATACGTGTGAGCTTCCTGGCAGTCCACTGGGGGGATATGCCATGTTCTTTACAACTAATTTCTTATTGCACAACTGTTGCATAATTTCTTGTTTACACAATTGATTCTAAGATTGCCACCAATAAAAACAGACAAAAATAACCCACTTGCTTTGTAGAAGAAATAGCAATCAGCAGTGAGGAATATCATTATTCAAACGGCAGAGGGGGAGGGGAGGGTCCAGGGAAGGAGTCAGGGAAGGAGCAGTCATCCATAAGCCAGGAGTAAACCAGTGGAGCTTGCATAATTTGGGGATGCCAGTGTTTCCTGTCCAAAGTTAAGGCTTTTAGGAATTTCTGCAGTTTATTGCTTTTCCTATTTCATAATTTATTCATTACTTTGGGCCTGGTAAATCAGAGTATATAATAACTAATGTAATTTCTTGAAGACTATTCATGTTGTTTTCAATTCTTGATAGTAAAAGCTTCTGTAAGAAGAATGATAGTCTGTTGAATGAGTATCAGTCTCTCTAGATTGTATCTGTCAGTTTTGGATGTGTAACAAATCCTTCCAACTTCAGTGGTTAAAAACAGCCCACAGCTGAGTTGCTCAGCATTCTGTGAGCTGACAGTTTGGGCTGGGCTTAGCTGGGTGGTTCTTCTGCTGGGGGCCAGGTTTAGCTGATATCCCCTGGGGTTCACTCAAGTGTGGACAGTGGGCAGGTCAGCAGGGCTGCCTCATTCTCATCCACAGGGCCTCCCCTCCTATAGCAAGCCAGCTTGGGTTCATTCACATGGTGGGCTCAGGTTTCCAAGTGCAGCAGGAGAGCGAGCGCCAGTGTGCAAGTCATGTCCAGGCTTCTGCTTGTATCATGTCTGTTCCTGCTCCGTTGGCCAAATCACGTTACATGATGAACCCAGATTCCAGGGGAAGAATGATACACTCCACCTCCTGAGCGGGAGTATCTGCAGGTCCACATCACCACAGTGTGGGTGCACAGTAGGGAAGAATGTGTAGCCATTTTTACAGCCTACCACACACAGTTAGCACATTTTCATCAGCCAGACAAAAATCATTGCTGATTGCTCACCTTTTACAGGATAAAACTCCGGGTCGTGATGGGATTACACATGAATTACTGCATTGATTAGGTGATGCGAAAACCAGTGCTTCTGGTTTTCCTGGGTGTGAGCTGCCCTGCCAGTGCTGCAACGTATGTGAAATTGGAGAGTCCAAGTTCGATGAAGACTTAGTTATCTGCCTTTTTTTCTTCTCTTAAGATTGCCAACCCTCCTGATAGCTGAATGTGTGCTGGTTTACATGACTCCGGAGCAGTCTGCAAACCTTCTCAAGTGGGCGGCCAACAGCTTTGAGACTGCCATGTTCATAAACTACGAGCAGGTAAAAGGAAGCATAAGGAACTTGCATCCCGCGTGGGACTCCAGTGGTGACTTTCCCTCTCTGAGCATCCGCAAATGGATGCTTTCCCTGAGTTCTTTTCCTCCTGCCTCCGGCCACTCACATATCTCCTTTATTAACCAGTTCTGGCAAACCTGGTACTCCTGAGTTCCTGACTTCTTGCAAACTTCTACCCAGAGCTTTGGGAACGTCTGTTTTGGCCTTGTAAGAGTATTTTGAGTTCTTATTTTACCATCATGTTTACTATAAAGTCGTAGCTCTTGATGGAGGGGATTTTGGCTATCATCAGCATAGGGGTAGCAAACTCAGATGCCTTCAGAGGCAGATATTAATGCAAATGGAGGAAGTTGTAATTAGTGTGGACTGGTGTAATTAGTGTGGACTGGTGAACTGGGACCCCTGTGTCCCACTTCATGGGATGCCCGTGGTTTGGTTCCATGTGGGCCTAAAGTTGCCTGAACTCCCAGTGTTTTGAAGACAAGTTGCGTTTCTAACTTGAAATGCAAGGACTGTAATGTAAAATTTTCTAATTTCTAAAGTCACTGAGTTTGACCCATGGGTGGCCTGTTTTTCTTTCTGATCTAGCACTGCAAGGGTTATGTAGCTCCGCTCGCATCTGAATCCTGGCCCTAGACGTTATCATCAGCTCTGTGACCTGAGCAGAATGGCTAGGTGGTTGGGAGGTCATTCTCTGGAGGCAAACTGCCTCGCTGTGTGACTTGGACAAGTTACATAACCTCTCTGTTCCTGTTTCCTCATCTGAAAAATGAGGGTGATAATATCCCAAAATCATCATTAATGAATGAGTTAATATATGTGTAAGCACTTACAGCATTGCCGACTATTAAGTAAGCTGTTACTAAGTTAGCTATTTGAATGTCTCTGAGCCCCAGTTCTTTGTTCTTAAAAGGATAAGAATACCTACCTCTCAAGTCTTTTTTTTTAACATTTTTTTTGAGTTATAGTCATTTTACAATGTTATGTCAAATACCAGTGTACAGCACAATTTTCAGTTATACATGAACATACGTACCTCTCAAGTCTTAATAATTCAGATTAAATTTGTTGAGTGTATTAAAAAAACATAGCCAGCTCTCTGCATTATTATGGGGACTCGTGAGATGTTGAACAGCAATGGGGTGGTCATAAGCTCTGAGTACATGTTAGCTACTTTTATTGTTTTTTTTAGTTTAGCTTTATTGACTTTATATTTTGGGAGGGTGATAATCAGGTTTATTTATAATTTTTTTTAAGGGCAGTACTGGGCATTGAACCCAGGACCTCGTGCATGCTAGGCACGCACTCTACCACTGAGCTGTACCCTCCCCCCGATTTTGTTTCTTTTTTTTAATCTCATTTTATTGTTCAGTTTTATCACAGATAAGAGCAGTAGAGGGCCTTGCCTAACATCACGTAACTATGGACAGATCCAGGGCTAGATGTTGGCCTCCTGGCCTCCTACCCACCATCCCTCCCCATCTTCCCAATCCAGGTTCCTGTATAGGGGTGGTCCTTGGTTGCTTGATTTTAATTCCTTTTGTCTCTTTAATTGGAGGCATTCCCCAGACTCCATCTTCAGTCCTGGTGAATATCCATATAATGGTAGGTGGCCTCATCCGTCTTACCTTCCGATGTGAATAAGTCCTGGTGACCTGTCTTTGCTTTCAGGATCCCACACCTGGGGAAAAGGCGTCCCATTCCCCCTGTTTCCACACGTTCCGGGTGTGTACCATTCACTCACTTTGCTCCATCTGTGTATTCTTTGATTCAGCAAGCCTCGATTCAGCAGCCCGTGAGAGATGGTGGGCTAAGTGAATTTTGACCAGAGATCGTGTCACTTTGGAGCAGGCCAGGCAGTGTGCCAGTTTTCAGTGTGTTGACCGCAGCCATCCCTTGATGGGTTCAAATCCTGCCCACCACCCTCATTTTGCTAGTAATCAACTTTTAACCCATGCAGAATCAGCAGCAGCCTCCTGTTTGTCAATTGCTCACGTCTTACATTATTTTTTAATTAGTACTTACATGACAAAACCATGTGGATGATGATAATTTCAGTAATGATAATGATTGTAAATTCTTAGAATTTGATTTCTTATGTAGCAGGCGCTATTTTGCGAGTTTCACGTATATTAACATATTTAATCATCACCACATCCCACGAGGTAGGTCCTAGGGCTGTCCTGGTTTTACAGGTAAGGGGACTGATGCACCAAGGGGTTAGGCTTCTTGCTCACAGCCTCACAGCTATGAAGCGTCAAGCCAGGATCCAAACCTGGGTGACAAAATGCAGGCGTTTGTGCTCACAGACATGCTTCTATCCTGAATAAATAGTGTGCAATCCGGTCATTAGTGCCACGTAAGCCTTAACACATCCCCCAGAAAGAATTAACATTGGTTCTTGTCTTGCAGCATGGTTGTATAAATACAGAAATCATTTTATGTATTGTTAAAGTGATGAATTTTTGATACCTTGTATATGACAAAGGCACAATGTATATGCTACAGTAGTGTACATAATATTTTGTGACAATTGTGTACTTATATAGATTGTTTTTTGACTAGTTTTTTAATTCAAGAAATAATGTCGCGTGCTGAATTTTTTAAAAAATCAGTTCAAAAGGGTAGACAAAGAAAAATAAGTCTCTCATCTACTCCAGACCTTGGCCTCTAACCTGAGAAGCAACATTGCTGTGTTCTAGAATTCTCCTACACATACATAAATGCGGAGAAAGGGATTTTTTTTCACTAAAGGCAGATGGGAGCGTACTATACACATTCTTCTCTACCTTACTTTTCAGGGGTTTATTTTAGGGATCATTTCTGTCTGTCTATCTTCCTTTCTTGTTTTCACAGCTGTCAGTGTTTCATTATATGAACATGCCAGAATTTATTTAACCCCAAATGCTGGCTTTCCAGATCCTTCCTCTTATACATAAAGCTGCAGTAAATGCTCTTGCATCTTTGCGTGCACAAGCGAGCCTGTCTGTAGGACAGGTTGCTGGCAGTGAGCTTGCTAGATTCCAGGCTGAGTGTTAACAATGAATGGACACTGCCCAGTTGCCTTTTGAGGAGCTGTACTGGTTTATGCTCCATCAGGACTGCACTCAGGCTTCCGTTAATCTGCGCTGGGTATTATCAAATGTCAAGCCTTGACTGGTTTGAAATAGGATGTTTTATTTTGCATATATAAGAAACAAAGAAACCCTTCCGGCAATGCCCAGGAGCCTCTCTCCCTTCCCAGGTGAACATGGACGATCGCTTTGGGCAGATCATGATTGAGAACTTGCGGAGACGACAGTGCGACCTGGCAGGAGTGGAGACCTGCAAGTCGTTAGAGTCACAGGTCAGAGAGCAGAGACCGGGACATCCTCTTGTACCCTTAGCCAGCATCCTCCCTTTGCAGATAAGAGAACATGAGACTCCCTCGTGAGTGCCTGCTTGTGGGCAGCTTGGGCCCCACGTGGGCCACTGGGCCATCGTACTGGGGAAATCCAAGCCCTGGGCTGCCATCTTGGTATGGAAAATATAAACTTACATTTCTATTATTATAATTTTTTATTATGCCATTTTTCAAACAACGTCAAAGTCGAGCAAACAGTTAAAGTGAACACCCATTTTGTTCCATCAGCCAGCTTCAGTAATTAATGTTTTGTCATTGTCATTTTCTTTACCCTCTTCCCCGAAATTTTTGTTGGTGTTGTCATTGGAATATTTTAAGGCAATCCCAGACAGTATATCATTTCCCCCATAAATACTTCAGTGTGAATCTCCTACCACTAAGGACCTTCCCCCTGCCACACCCCACTCCCAGGAGAATGGTAATACCATTATCAAACCTCACAAATCGACACTAACTCCTTCATAGCATCTAACACCCAACTCATGTTCAGTTTTCCTTGATCATCTAGAAAAAAAAGTTCATGGTGTATTTGAATCAGGATCCAAACATGGTTCACACTTTGTGTTTGACTGATAGGTTCCTTAAAATCTCTTGGAATCTATAGTAGTCCCCCTCCCCTACCGACGTATAAATTTTTTTCTGAAGAGACACTTCCCACCCCTTCTCCAGTTCAAATAGGTTAGTTTTTACGTGGTTTACATTACGTCACCACTAGGGCTCTTGTAAAAACTGTTGCTTGTAGAAAAGTTTCTTCCTGTATTTCTTTTTAAATATGCTTTAGTGCATTTCCGCCTGTTGTAACTATGTGTGTTCAGTATAGAAAATCGGAAAGTAAGAAGGAGGAGGATGATAGGGGCCAGAATGGGCTTCTGAGGGAGGAGTCCTCTGAGGGAAGCTCCCCCCTGCCCAGGGCGCGGCTCGGGTTGTATGACAGCACATGGTCCTTCTCCATTTCTCTCCACCGCATGTTTCAGAAAGAACGACTCCTGTCGAACGGGTGGGAGACAGCATCGGCCATCGACATGATGAATTTGTACAGCAAATTACCTCGCGCGGAAGTGAGCAGGTATGGGACGGGCCAGACTTAGCTCCCTGATAAATGCTGTGAATTAAAGGCTTAGCTGCCTGCATCCTTTAATGTAAAGAAAACCAAAAAATCAACAAGAAATCCACCCCCTAACTAGTCTTATTTTGAAACGAGTTAACCCGCTAATACAAGGTAAACACTGACAGCACCTTGAGAGTAACTCATTAGCTACTTAGCCAAGATAAGGTTTATGCCAAAACAGGCTGTCTCAGGCGGAATAAGCAGTTACACCTCTGAAGTGGAAATCTTGCCTAATCACTGTGTTTTGGAGAAAGAGGAGAAATAACATTACCCAAGGGCTTCTAAGGGGAAAAAAATCTGCTTGCAGATTTTTAAGTGAATGTTTCCCCTCATTATAAAAGAAATACATGCGTGTGTTTCTGGAATAATTTTGGAGCAAAGTGCATGGCATATAAAGCCATTGTGCAGTCTGTAGCTGCAGCCTCCAGAGACAGCTGTTTATAAATGGGGATGTGTCTTTTTCTCTGTGTATATAAAGATAAATTTTTGTTGATATATAGGTTTCTATTTTTTGAATCAGTAGATGGACATTACATATATTTGTCTGTAAACCACTATCCTTTTTGAAAAATTTGACAATAGATTGTGTTTATCTTTACATATCAAGACATTCAGATGAATCAATAAAAAATGTAAAAAAAAAAAAAAGACATTCAGGGCTACTATATTCCTGTTTAATGATGTTTAGTATTTATATTGATATGTAGGTATGTTACATGAATGTTAGTTTCTTTATTGAAGTATAATTGACGTACATTATATTAGTTTCAGGTGTACAACAGGATGATTTGATATTTGTACATATTGTGGAATCACAGTAAGTCTAGTTAACATCCATGACCACACATAGCTACAGAATTTTTTTTTCTCATGATGAGAACTTTTAAGATAAACTCTTAGCAGCTTTCAAATATTGCGGTATAGTATTATTACCCTGTAGTTACCATGTTGTACATTACATCCCTGTGACTTACTTATTTTACAACTGTAAGTTTGTACCTTTTGGCTCCTGAACCCCCCTCACCCATTTCACACCTCCCTGCCACCTCTGGCAACCACCAACCTGTGCTGTTCTGTTTTATTTTGTTTAGATTCCACATATAAGAGAGATCACATGGTATTTGTCTTTCTCTGTCTCACTTATTTCCCTTAGCATAATGCCCTTAGGTTTCATCCCTGTTGTCACAAGTGGCAAGATTTTGTTCTTTTTCGTGGCTGAATAATATTCCATGTTAATATATATACACACTTACATTTTCTTTATCCATTCATCCCTTGATGGACACTTAGGTTGTTTCCTTGATAATAATAACTTTAAAGATATTAGAAAGTAATGCCTGCAGCAGAACATTTTCTTGTGGGGTCTTGTTTTTTATTTTGTTTTGTTGTAGTTTCCATTATAAATCACTCTGGAGGGAGCCTCACCATACCATCTCTGGACAGTGTTAGTGCCAGCTTAAGTCTTTTTCCATGATTTCTTTGTCCTTCCTGATTTGTGCTTCCCCTTGCCTTTGGGGACCTAGTTTTTGGCCTCTTGCAATATAATGAGAATTTTTGGTTTTGCTTCTTCATCAAACTTCCTGTTAACTTTTAGAAGTATCACTATTTTTTCCAAGTATGTCCATCAAGGCCTTGACTGTCGTGAAAGTGTTGTCTCCACGTGATTGGGTCAGTGGTTTCTGGATTCTTCTAGAATTTTCCTTTCCCACAGGCTGATTTTCATTTGCTACATATCAAGGCGACTATTTTGAATAGTCTAGGCCTGGCGTCTGTAATGGAAGTGCTCTGGCTACTCTTCCGGAGACCCAGGGGGGAATCGGACTGGCATCCACCACAAGGGACGCAAGTTTCTTCTAGGTAGTAATTAGTCTCTCGTTGCTGTGGGCTCCTGCAGACAGCCACACGTGTCCTAACAGGCAGGTGATGAGGCGGGACGGGCTTTGGTCTGTCCACCCCCGGCTGACCAGTCCTCCCAGCTCTGCGGATGCCTCGTAATTGGTGGGTACATTTGCCCAGGGCTCTTGCCAGGTACCCTGTATAAAAAGAAGTCGAAGGCTGGCCTGTTGATTTGACAAATGCCAAGTGCCTGCTGGGCACCACACACTTTTCGTAGCACAAGAGTTACAACAGTGATCAAAATGGGCCAAAAGTTGTGCCTGCCTTTCTGGAGCTCACCTCGGGGGAGCAGCTTCACAGTCTGGTGTCTCTTATAGTTGAACTTGGTCATAACCGTGCTGGCGCCTTCATCATGGTGCTGGGCACTTCATGGATACTCATTCTCACTTCCATGTGACTCTTAGGCCTGCTGACCAAGACAGGAGCGAAACACAAATACAGGAACACGTACTGTGCACAGCCCCCACCCCTGTACACGCAGGTGCGCACAGACACACACACGCACGCACGCACGCACGCACACACACACGCAGCCTGGACAGGTGGCAGTACCAGAATGTTAACAGTGGCTATTGTGAATAGTGGCACATGGACCATCTTTTATTTTTCTTCTTTATCCTTTCTGGAAATACCTGTGTTTCCCCACCCCCCTCCCCACCTTGGGCACATATCTCAACAGAAAACATTTTAAAAAGCTGTTTTCATATGTTTGTGCATGTTTCTCTGTGTGTGTGTATACATTTAAAATTTACATTTAAAGTGATTTTTTTTTAAAAAAAAATCATACAAGCACATGATAGGAAAAAAAAGAAGAAAGTCGTACAGAGTGAAAACCAAACAAAACCGTTGGTCCACCACCCTCACTGCCAGTCCACGACCTTCTGTTCTAAGAGACAACCACCATTACCAGTTGTTGTTTCTGTATTTTCCAAAAGTAGTCTCTGAATATACAAACGTATGTATTCCTGTTTCTTTACATTGATAGTAATATGTGCTGCTCATTACTTACGAAACAACTTGCTTCTTAATTTTTTTATTTTAATTTTTAAAGTTTGTAATGGTCTTTTTAAAACCATTTATTTAATTTATTTGTTTTTACTTTCCCCCTTAACAGAGGCACTGGGCATGGAACCCAGGACCTCGTGCGTGCCAAGCGTGCACTCTACCACTGAGCTGCACCCCCAGCCCCCCGTAACTTGCTTTTTAAATTCCACGCTATGTCTTAGCGGCTCTGGCTGTTTCATGTCGGTACGTGCAAACAGTAGGCCCTTTCACATGGCTGCGCGGTAGCCTGTTGTATGCATGTGTTCTAATCTCCTCAACCCGTCTCTTCTAGTTTACAGGGTTTTTTGCTGTTACTACATTGCAGCTATGATGCTGCAGTGAGATTTCTTGAACTCGTACAGGGTAAATTCTTAAAGCGGAATTGCTGAGCCAAAAGATACACATTTTAAACATTGATAGAAGGGAGCAAATTGCTCTTCAGTGAGGCTGTGCTCTTTTGTAATCCCCCTGGTAACGCATGAGAGCGCCTCTTTTCTAGCGCCTTGCTAAAATGTGTGTCAGCTTTTTTTATTGAAGTATAATTGATTTTTAATATTGTGTTTCAGTAGATAGCAGTGATTCAGTTATGTTTATATATATATTTTTTCAGATTATTTTCCACTGTAGGTTATTATAAAATATTGAATATGGTTCCCTGTGCTATCCAGTAAATCTTTGTTACTTATCTATTTTATATATAGTAGTTTGTATCTGTTACATTCCTAATTTATTCCTCCCACCTCCCTTTCCCCTTTGTAACCGTAAGTTTGTTTTCTATGTCTGTGGGTCTGTTTCTGTTTTGTACATAGACTCCTTTGTATTTATCATATAATATTTGTCTTTCTCTGTCTGACTTATTTCACTAAGTATAATACTCTCTAGGTCCATCCATGTTGCTCCAAGTGGCAATATTTCTTTCTTTTCTATGGCCAAATAATATTCTTATATATACATACACATACACACACCCTCCACATCTTCTTAAGCCAGTCATCTGTTGCTGGGCACTTGGGTTGTTTCCATGTTTGGCTGTTGTGTATAGTGCTGCTGTGAACGTTGGGGTGCATGTGTCTTTTCGAACTGAGAATTTTCATCTTTTCTGGGTATGCCCAGGAGCAAAAGTGCTGGATTATGTGGTAACTCTGCTTTTAGTTTTTTAAGGAACCTCCATATTGGTCTCCATAGTGGCTGTACCAGTTCCATTCCCACCAACAATACAGGAGGTTTCCCTGTATCAGCCTTTGTGATCTTTGTCAACTGTTAGTTGAAAACATAGCTTGTATTGTAATTTACATTTCTCTTTGCATAAACGAGATGGAAAAACCCTTGTTTTGCCTCCTCAGTGAACTGGTCTTTTACCCACCTCTTAAATAAGTTTTAAAAGCTTTTCTTGTAGAAGTATAACAGCTCTTTATATAGCAAGGAAATCTACCGTTGGTCGTTTGTATCACAAATATTTTTTCTAGCTTGTCATTTGTCATTTTTGACCTTGCTTATGGTAATTTTCCTTCATGTCAAGAAAAATAAGCTAAAGTGGACCCACACCAGGCAGACTGTTCTGTAGCCTGCCTCTTTTCCCCTAGTACAGCATGAACATCTTTCTGAACTCGAGAGTAAGGGGCATTGCCTTCATTTTAATTCTGTCCCTTTGTATTGTTGTGTTGTTCTGTTTTCATTCTCTTGACAGGATAGAGTCCCTTGAATTCCTGGATGAAATGGAGCTTCTTGAGCAGCTCATGCAGCATTACTGCCTCTGTTGGGCGACCAAAGGAGGAGGTGAACTCGGTAGGTGACTTCACCGTTGCTGACCTGACCTAGATATAGAAAGAACGTAAGACACCTGGAGCTTTGGACCCAGGCAGAACTAGAGGATCGTATCCATGTATCCATGAGCATGGCCGGAGAACTAGCTGTTACATCCTCTGTGTCTTTGCAGCACACAAACCAGGAGAACCATTCAGATAAACCACATGTATCAAAACAAACCCACATCGCTTTAGAGGTCGACTGTGGTGTTTCCTCAGGTGGAAGGTAAAGACCTTGAGTCTTGTTATAATCTTCTTTTTTCTTTCTCTTTTTTTGTTTTTTTGGTCTTATTATAATCTTAATAAAAGGAACCAATGTTTGTCTTTTTAATCGGCTTGTAACCAGGTTGACTAGATGTTAAACACACAGTCTGTCTCTAATAGACCCCTGCAGCTGCGGGTTGAATGTCTCCCTCTCATCTTCTCTGTAAGGTGGGTTTCCCCAGCCTGGCTGAGTCCGGCCCCGGGGACAGAGCGCGGAGCCTGTCTCAGCGTGTCCTGTTGCCTTGGTCTTGACCCAGTTCCTCCTTTACGCTGCCCATGTTGACCTCCCTTCCCCCGGGCGGATACCGCTCCCGTGGGCATCTCTGAGACCAGCGTAGTTCCCAGTTCTGGTCCTTCTTGTCAGAGGTGCGCTCGGGCTTCCTGCAGATGTGTCTGGCATAGGGCTTCAGGCAGGTGTCGGATACAAAACAAAGAGCTTGGCAGAGGCCAGGACGTCTGCTGTGTGAAAACTCCAGGTTCTTAACCGCCCGCTTTGGGCTTATCTTCCTGCTAGTTTATAAATTTGCCCAGCTGGGCAGTTCAGCCCACAGAATCCTTTTGAATCGTTTTTTATTTAAAAATCGTTTATTAGTGTGTGTTTTCTTTTTCTGTTGAAGTATAGTTGATTGACAATGTTGTGTTAGTTTCAGGTCTACAGCAAAGTGGTTCAATTATACATATACATACATATTCTTTTTCAGATTCTTTTCCATTATAGGTTATTATAGAATATTGAATATAGTTATATACAACTATACAGAAATTAGGAGTTTGGGATTAACAGATGCACACTGCTGTATGTAAAATAGATAAACCACAAGGACCTACTGTATAGCACAGGGAACTGTATCCAATATTAGTGTATTTTTATCCTACTATTATCCCCCATTTTTAAAACAATGTAATTTTCAGTGTAATTAAGAGACTTTGGAAACGTCTAAAAAAATATATGACAAAGAAAAAAAAATCACCCACACGCCCGTCACTCGGAGATAAGCCTTGGTAACTTTTTCCTTCCATTCTTTTTCTAGCTCTGGTTTGTTTTTAGCAGAATGGAATTTATATATTTATGTAACCTTGATTCCTCATCTTTTAACGAAACATTACAACATACCCACTTCCCCTTGCTATTAAAAACTCTCTCTGTTAATGGCTTTATATTCTGTCACGAGGCTATGTTTGAATATACTTAATTTTCCACATTTTTAGAAATACAGGTGGTTTGTAATACTATTGAGTTAATTTTGGTTTTTATAAAGTAATAATATATTGAACGTTTTGATGTAAGGGACTTCTTCGGCCCTCTTTCTGCCTGGCTGCTTGGTGACAGTCAGTTACTTGTATGTTATTTGGGGAAGGTCTGTCTGCATTTGCTCAAAGTTCAACATGTGAAGAAGCATTTGCTCAAAGTTCAACATGTGAAGAATAGACTTTCTTGGTGTTTACTGCGGAGAGTCCATAAACTGTTACAGTGTTTCCCAATCCCTGTAAAACTATCCATAAACACAGTCTCATCCAACCTCTTGTTTCCTTGTGAAATCTCATCTTACACAAGAGACCAGAGCCTCGGTGATCGGACCTGCGGCCTGTGCCCCAGAGCCGGTCCCTGTGGGCCTGGGGTCCGGCAGCCTCGGATTCTCCCACCTCCGTCCTCTCTGCCCCAACCTTGGGAGAGTCCCCTGACAGCGATTGTGTGTTTCCTCCCCTCAGGTTTGAAGGAAATAACTTACTGATCTGTTCAAGACTCGTGCTGAGCCAGAGCTGAACCCACTGACCTCTCCAGAGCTGACCCTCCAAGTTTCCTGATCGGTGGTCAGGCCCCGGCTACCAGTGTCACCCGCACTCCGAGGGACCTCAGTTACTGGGGTTGTCGTCCCAGCTCCTGTTCATGTTGGCTCATCAGTTAAATAAATTTCAGTTCCCAATTGCCAATGTGTTGGGCCTCTACCGTTTACCGTTCGCTCCCCTGGGTGGGCTGTGGTTCACCTCTGTGTCAGCTAAAACCAAAGATCCAGAATCCGACCTTGACCTTGGCTCACTGCCTGTGAGTCAGACAGCGCACGTCCTTGCATCCGTCGTAGGATTTACCCCCATGTGCACTTGTCTGCAGCACCTGGCCTTGCATTCAGCACCTTGACCAGGTGCTGGAGCTCGTCTCAGCGCCCGTTTCTGCCCTAGCCTGCTTCCGTCCTCCTTCATCTTGTTCCTTGTGGCAGGCTGAATCTTGGCCCTCTAAAATGTTCCCTCCCGATCCCCCAAACTGTGGACATGTTGCCTTACGTGGCAAAAGGGGCTTTGCAATGTGATTAAGTTAAGGATCTTGAGATGGGAGGTTATCCGGGAGCGTCCAGGTGGGCCCAGTGTAATCACAGGGGTCCTTCCTTCAAAGGGGAGGCAGGAGGACCAGCATCAGGGGGAGGTGTGATGCCGGAAGCAGAGACCAGAATGTTGCGCTTTGCAGATGGAGGAAAAGGCAGAAGTTGAGGACCACAGGAGGCCACCAGATGCTACAACGGGCAGGAAAACATTCTCAGGTCCTCCAGAAGGAACCAGCCCTGCCGACACTTTGACTTTAGCCCAGCAAAACTGATTTGTGATTATGACCGCCAGAACAGTAAGAGAATGAATGTGTGTTATTTTCAGCCACTTAAGTTTGTGATCATTTGTTACAGCAGCAAGAGGAAACTAATAGAGTTATGCTACAGATGCAAAGGGCTCCCGGGGACCTACTGCACAATTTGAAAACATAAGGCCCACCCACGCCTGATGAAATTTTGGTTATCTGACTGGGGCTGTGAACAGGAACCTGCATACGCAGAACGACAGTGAGGAAGCCCCCCGCCCTCTCCTCTCCTAGAGAGACTCCAGCCCCTCACTCCACCTCCCAGAATCTCTAGATCAGCGTTCCCTAGAGTGTGGGCTGCACCCCACTACGCAACGGGGTGCCCACTGACAGGCGTTGACACACTGATGCAGCGTGAAATGACATTGAGTCACTCAGTGAGAACGTTGCTTCCTTTTCAGTTATCTTTCACATCTTAAGTTCAAGGAGAAGATCTCAGGCTGGTACTGATGTGTCTTTAACCCTAATGTTCACTAATCCAATGTTTTTAAAACCATGAGACGAAGCCATTCGTGGATGAATGCACTTAATGGATCAAATCCATTGTTTTAAAAAAAAATAGAAAATGTCATAGCATAGCCCATTACCATCAGTAAGGGTGAGGTTTTCTGGAACTTGTTTTGTTTTTACGTGCGTATACATGTACCACGTTAGCATTGTTCTAATGTTTCGATTTTGGCTTTGATCAGAGGTGAAGGTCAGAGGGTGATAGCACTTCACCAGTTGCAGCAGCAGCATCTGGCTAAAATTTAAAAAAACACTCTGGCTTCAATGCTATTTCTGGTTTTCCTTGTATTTATTTTTATGGATTATGTTCTGTTCGAGGTTCATGATTCACCATTACTGTTGATGGTTATGTTATCAAATATCCCATAAAGTATCTATCGATTTCTTCCTAAAAGTGGGTCCACTGAAAGGCAATGACTAAGAAAATAATGGCGGTGCAGCACTGACACCGCAGAAATGATGGAGGTGGTACGTTTGGAAACCCGGAAGTTGAGAAGGACCACGCGAGGGAGTGGCTTTCTGGCTTTTATAATGCAAGATGGGCAAGAGAGAAAGAAACTGGAAAGCGTTTAGATCACCGGTCACCCAATGTGGAGTCGTTTTGATTGTGTTTGCTCTACTGCACAGAGAATATGTTTGCATAATATCAAAATGTATGAAGCTCAAAGCAGAGTCCAACTATATTTTCATCTTAGAGTTTTTTACTGTTTTTGAGGGGGAGGAGGAGAAGGCATGGATGGTCATAAATAGAATGTCTGCTATGGGCAGAATCTATATTTTTATTCTGCTTTACTTTTTTATACCCCTTCTTGTTCCACAAAAGGAATTGAGATAGACAGTAAAACTAAGTCAACATGAAAAGCAAAAATAAATGCTTTGGGGAGCTGGAACGTGAATTCTTTTTAAAAAAAGGCCCACAGGTGTATGTATTTTATTGTCTCATACAAGTCTTAGAAGTGGGCTACAAATTTGACTCCTGCAAAGTCCTCACAAGGATTGAAGTTGGATTCAGTTTCCATAAAATCAGCCAGCCTCACGCTCAAGAGAAGCACAATCCTCCTTGCACAGAGACCCAGGAGGCTTCCCCTGGGCGTCCTTGGTGGGATCTCTGAGAATGCTTGGGGTCCCGGCTTGTAGCTGCTGCTCCAAGTCCCCTTGCTGCAACCTGCCCGAGTGCAATTGCATGCGGCCAAGCCAGCACAGTCTAATGATACAGTCCTGGGATGCTGGAGTTCCTAGAGGAGTAGAATTTAGAAGATCTGAGGAAAATGAAAGGCCTGCAGAACTGATGTGCCTGTATTGTTCCTGAAAGCTGGACAGTTTATACAAGATTCCATGGCAGTGAGTTTGAGGTCAGAACCTTTGGCAAAGACCTGGAGGTCAAACTGACTGACTGGTCCAGATCAAAACGCTCGTAAGAGCCATCCAGGAGGAGGGGCTGAGTCTTCACAGGAAAAGGAAAGCTTGTACCAGAAGCAGAGCCTCATTCCGAGGTAGCTGCTGCCAATATAAAATGGGGCATCCCACACCCCTCCTTAAAAACCCTCCTTAATAGCCCTCTTCCTCTTGGTGTGAAATCAGCTCCCTCCTGTGGCCAACAAGAAGCCAAGACCCTGCGTGTTCCGGCCCCTCCTCGCCTCTCCCACCTCATTGTGCCACTCTCCTCCCTCCCGTGACGCTCTTAGCTCTGCCTGCCTTCTTTTCTTCAACCTACCAAACTGTCGCAAGGGCAGGTGAGGACCACGGGGTTGGAGATGTACGAAACAGCCAGTACGCAATTCACGAGTCACTTGATTTATTGCACACAACACAGGTTAGTCAAAGTAGAGGAGGAATAACGAACCACTCCAAGGAGAAATCCCAGAAGGAGGCATCTCAGCACGAGCAGCTGTCTCCCATTCGGCAGATTCAGCACCACGTCTTGGCAGGTGTGAGTGGGAAGTGACCTGCTCCCACAGGGCCTCCGGCAGCATCCATCTAGAATGGCTCCCAGCAGCATGGAGTCAAGTCCTCCACCAAAGAGCCTTCAAGTCACTTGGCTCAGTGGTGTCTTTCCAAGGAGTAACAGTTACCCTGGGGAAGGGCGTCTTGGCTCTGCCAGTTGTGTTGCCCATCAAATTTCTTCTCTGAAGTAACATTTTAGTTTATCCCCCTAAGACACTGGCAGTCGTACAGCAGATGTTTCAAAACAATTAATATGTAAGTTTACATTGGCCACTGCGACTCCATTTTGAACTACTTTGCATAGCTTAACATAGCTTAAGTCCTATAACCTTTACATAAGATAAATAGGATTTGTAACATAAAAGAAATCACATTGTAGCACTCTGCTTCTGCTGACCTTTGCACCTGCTGTTTCCTTTCCTAACGCAGCCTTAGCCCTTAAAGCTTAGATTAAACATCCCCTCCCCGTTCCCCTGTGTAAACTTCCCCTGTGGTTGTAACTCGGCATCCTGTTTTTTGCCTTTATGGTCCTTGCCTGAACTTGTCATCCTTTTAATTCATTCCAGAAG